TCCACTGAGCCAAACCGGTTTTGGGTAAACTTTCTTTTTTAATGTTTTTATTGATTTTAGAGAGAGAGGAAGGGAAAGAGATAGATAGTAACATTGATGAGAGACAAACATTGATTGCCTGCCTCCTGCACACCCCCTATGGGGGATGGAGCCTGAGACCTGGGCATGTGTCCTGACTGGGAATTGAACCATGACATCCTGGTTCATGGGTGGAAGTTCGACCACTGAGCCACACCGGCCAGGCAATCTGTCTCTTTTCTTGACCTAGTTCCCATGACCACAAAGCTGTTTCTTGGGTCATCTCCAGATCTAAGGTTCTTGCCAGAGTTAGACAGGCCTTCCTGACTTCAGGGAGCCTTCCCCTTTCTAGTCCTCCCAGCTCCATGTGGCACTGGATCACATGGAAAGGAACTCTCTGATACCCTATTTTCCTGACTCAGTCTCTGGATTTTTAGTTCTTGATGGGAAAAAGAAAATATAGATTAAAATTAGGGACAAAGTCAAGGACTTGTATCCCAACTGTGTCACCTAGTTGCATGGGTAATATGCTTCCTCTGTGAAAGAGGGATTATAGGGCTGCCAAGAGGATTTAAGGAAACAATGAATGGAAAGCACCTGACAGTGCCCATAGTAAGCACTAAGTATGTGACTCAAAGATTGGTGTTTTTCTCCCTTCTCCAGCAGTCAGCCTGCCCTTTCAGCCCTATTCTGATATTCTCAATCACTGCTGTTTAGGCCTTCAGGGTAGCCAGAAGCATCTGGGACAGAGAGAGGCCTTGTCTAGTCCCTCCCCCATCCCAGGGTACTGTGGGACCCCAAGGCTAAGGGACACAGATTCTCCTCTGGTACTGCCATGGGATGTGACAGAACAGCCCCAAGGATTAGGCTCAATGAAGGACCTTGTTCTACTGTGGGCCCTAGGAAAATATGTGTTTATGTGCCTGTGCGGTGGTGTGTTGGGGAGGGTGGGCCTCCCATGACTGGGAAGCATCAGTAAGCAGTGGCACTGGTCCAAGGAATTTGTGCAGCCTCAGGCCCCTTGGGGTGAGCCCAGCTGGGGCTGCAGATGAAGGGTGGGGATGGAACTTCAAGTTTCCTGTCCAGATCAAAAAAAGTCTGGCTCAGAGTTGAGGCATAGCAGGGACCCAATGAATACCTGCACAATTGAACCCAGATGATCCCCTTGAAGATAGTGGTGTCTATGTGTGTATAATGGGTTCTTTTAGGATCCCCATGGCCTCAGGTTATCTTCTCTTTTGTCCTAGCAAAGTAAGAGCACAAGTTCAACAGGCAAACTTGCCTGGATTAGAAAACCCAGCTGTGTCTATGACTTAAGTTAACATAATTGAAAGCCAGTCCTTTAACCTCTCTGAGTCTTGGTTTCCTTTTCTGTACAATATGGGGAAGTAAAAACTGCTTCATCACAGGACTACAGTAAAAGTCAATGAGCCCTAGCTCGTTTGGCTGTGTGGATAGATCATCAGTCTGTGGACTGAAGGGTCCCAGGTTTGATTCCGCTCAAGGGCACATGCAAGAGTCAGCCAATCAATGATTCTCTCTCATATGATGTTTCTATCTCTTTTTCCCTCTCCCTTCCTATAAAGGTGTGTGTGTGTGTGTGTGTGTGTGTGTGTGTGTGTGTGTGTGTAGAGAGAGAGAGAAAGAGACAACTGTGCAAAGCATCTAACATGTGTAAAGTGTTCCATGCATTTTATTTTTATTTTTAATAATGTCATGAATAACAAGTTGAATATTTTTTTTAAACGTAGGTCTTTTTAAAAATATATATATATTTTATTGATTTTTTTACAGAGAGGAAGAGAAAGGGACAAAGAGCTAGAAACATCGATGAGAGAGAATCATGGATCAGCTGCCTCTTGCACACTCCCCTACTGGGGATGTGCCCGCAACCAAGGTACATGCCCTTGACCGGAATCGAACCCAGGACCTTTCAGTCCGCAGGCTGACGCTCTATCTACTGAGCCAAACCGGTTTCGGCTGTTCCATGCATTTTAATTGTCATTGCTGTTCCTGGTTGAAGGTGCTGTTTTGAGGCTGGGGGAGAAGCAATTTATATAGGAGGGCACATTTGAGTCTCCCTCTTAAGATTCCCAACAGGGTTGGGGAGTTTCACAGTTACTTACCTAAATGTACATATCTCTGATTCTTTTGAGCCAGAAGCACAATAAGCAATGATGCAATTCTGGAGGTGGGTGAATGGGGATGGGGTTAAGGAATGCCATGATGCTAACTACTGCATCTCAACAAGCTGCCAAGTTGGAGTCACAGGCATAGAGAAGATGAGGTAGCCTGCAAAAGACTGCCTTTCTGGGCCAGGTGATCAGAGCTAAGTAGGTCATGAACCTGAGTCCTGGCAAATCACAGGAGCCAAATATATCTTGGAGACTGCCATAAGAGCAAACCCATTTTATGTGCTGGCTGTTGCAACAATTGTGGCAGCCTCATGCACTAGTTAGAGAGGCTGGGGTTTGGCTCCAAACATGCCCTTCTCTGCCTCACTTCAGCTCACACAAACATGGGGGAGTCTGGGGGTTCACATTTTTCTTTGATGAACTATGTCAGTAGAGTTTGAAAGGGTAGGGTGTAGGCATCAGAGTTGAGTTCTAGTGACTCACTCAGCCATGGCCCCCTCCTGACCTCAGTTTCCCCACCCAGTTTCAGTGAGCCAGAGAGGGAGGGGCTTAAACCTGCTGGATATTGGGACTCTGACTCAGAGGACAAGAGGAGGAAAGAAATGCAGGAAATGTGATTCAGGAAGCTATAGGACCAGGAAGGGAAGGGGATTTTAGCCTCTCTGGCTCCAACCTTCTGGTCCAAGTCAGCATCAGGGGAAAGAGAGACAAAATTACTGTTATAATTCCAAATGGGCAGGGAAGACAGCACTGGGAAAAGGAACAGGGATGACAAAAAGGAAACCTGGGGCCTCTCCTTGACTTCAGATTCTGCTTCCATGAAACCACTGCTTGCTACCTAGTTTGGGGCACTGTCCAGTTGCTTGAGAGTCAGAGACAGCTCAGATGAGAGCCCTCTTTCACAGCCCCCACTCTCAACATGTCACACAACAGTACTCTAAACACCTTTCTGAGCCCACCCTGAATCAGTGTCAGCACCAGGACAAATGGTTCTCCACTGGATGCACTCATGAGTCACCTAGGGTGCTTAAAAAACATCAGAATCTCTGAAAAAGGCCTCAGGTTTATTTAATAAAGAGCCTGAATGACTCTAACATGAAGCCAGAGTTAGGACCCACTTTCCTAATTCAAGACCTCTGCATTCCCATCCTTTCTGAGGAGATGGATAGGTGGGCAGCTCTGATCCAAACCCAAATCTGAACCCAGAGTCTCCCTGGGAGAACTGGAGGAAGTAGCAGGGTTGGATGGGTGAGATATGGAGTACAAACTCAGAAAATGGCAGAGGACCTGCCTCACTATTTTAGCCCTCTTGGCTCGAAGGGATCTGAAAAGTTGAAGAACTTTAGGCCCTGTAATAGAAGGGAATTGGTGGATGAAATGAACTCAAGATTTGATTTATGCATCTTGGTGGGGATGAGGGACAGATTCACTGATGGATCCATCCCATAAAATATTATGAACTATTGTTTTAGAAGAATACAAACAAAGTAACATGCATGGCCATAAGTCTGCCTTCTTTGGCGCATTCTTTCTTTTTCTTTTTTTTAAATATATTTTTTATTGATTCTTTACAGAGAGGGAGAGGGATAGAGAGTTAGAAACATTGATAAGAGAGAAACATTGATCAGCTGCCTCCTGCACACCCTCCAATGGGGATGTGCCTGCAACCAAGGTACATGCCCTTGACCGGAATCAAACCTGGGACCCTTGAGTCTGGAGGCCAATGCTCTATCCACTGAACCACACTGGGTAGGGCTGGCGCATTCTTTCAAAACCCAAAAGGTACTGGGAGAGTATTTATAACGTCTTCACTCTCCAGATATGGATCCTCAGGTCCAAGATAGGTGGGGCTGTCTCAGGTCTCAAGAGGTATTAGTGGCAGAGCTGGATCTGGAACTCCTGGGTGTCCTCATTCCTAGTCCCATTTGTCCTATGACAAATGAATCATCCAGCAAGGCTTCACTGTTCAAACTGCTGGTTCAGCAGAAGAACCTGGTACTTGTTCCCAAACCCATCCCCTCAGGATTCTTTAAAAAAAAAAAAAAAAATATATATATATATATATATATATATATATACATATATATATATATATTATTATTGATTTTTTACAGTAAGAAAGAAAGAGGGATAGAGAGTTAGAAACATCGATGAGAGAGAATCATTGATCAGCTGCCTCTTGCACACTTCCCACTAGGGATGTGCCAGAAACCAAGATACATGCCCTTGACCGGAATTGAACCTGGGACCTTTCAGTCCACAGGCCGACGCTCTATCCACTGAGCCAAACTGGTTTCAGCTCATTCCCTCAGGATTCTAAGTTAGTGGGATTGGGTAAAGGGCTCAGGAACCTGAATTTTAACAGTCACCTCCTCTCCCACTAGGTGATTATGCCAATGATATAAGTTTGGGAAACACCAGGGAATGGGAAGGCCATATAAACAGAGGAAGAATAACAGGGATGCATACAGTTCCTTTCACAAGGCAGGCACTCAAACCCAGGAAGGAATTGATGCTCACCTTCAATTCCCCTTTCATAGGTAATGATTTTAGTCTGTCTTTTTCAGTTCACAGACAAGCCACCCTACATGATTCTTCCTTTGCTGTGGGTAGTTTCCAGTTTGCACTGTCCACCCTCAGAAGTCCCCCATTCCATGCCTGAGGATACTTAGCAACCAAGCCCCAGGAAAGCCATGATGATAATTTGGGAGATCAGGGACTCCTCACCCACCGAATCTAGAACACACATTTCTTAGCACCACTGTTGGGTAGGCCTCCTCAACCATCTAACATCTATTCCTGTTCTAGGTCTTCCCCCTACTCCCATCTCTGGGACTGGAGACTTACCAGCACTGTTGGCCTCTGACTCCAGCAGGTGGATGTCATTGCAGTCCGCCAAAGAGTGTTCCAGACAGAGCTGCAGGAAACGAGCTTGGGTGCGAGTGACCCGCTTCAGAAGTGACAGCAGGGCCACTGTTTGCTCACACTCATTCCAGCCCTTGAACCAGCCAGCGAGAATGCCCACCTGGTCTCGGAACATCATGGTGCCGGGCCTGGGGCCAGGGTGGGGGGTACGGCGGTGGCCAGGGCCAGCGCCGTCACATGGTCTCGGCTCTGGGCTCCTGTTACCTCTTCCCTGAAGGCCAGGGCTTGAGGAGGTTCCCTGGCGTGGTGGCAATAGGTGGTGGGGGGAGGAAACCTGCTCACATCGGGGGAGGTCTTGGTCCAGCCACACCTCTCCAGGCTCCTGGAAAAGGAAGCAAGGGGTCAGACAGAATGAAGGGGCTGGAAATGACCTAGTGCTGAGGGGGTTAGGCGTCTTCATGCCTTCCTCTTTCAGGCTATCCACTCTGCGGAGCTCCTGGGAGAAAGGTAAAGCCAATACCAGATCCTAAACCAACTCTCCCTCTAATCTTCAGATCCAGAGAAAAGGCTTGATTAGGACTCGAGACCTACCCTAGATTAAGGAAAAAATGCTGCCCCTCAGGCCTGGCTGTCATAGGGCAAAAAGATGTGAATTTATCTTTATTTACTTATTTATTTTTATTGATTTCAGAGAGGAAGAGAGAGGGGGAGAGAGATAGAAAGAAACATTAATGATGAGAATCACTGATCGGCTATCTCCTGCAAGCTCCCTACTGGACATCAAGCCTGCAACCCAGGCACGTGCCCTTGACCAGAATCGAACCTGGGACCCTTCAGTCTGCAGGCTCATGTTCTATCCATTGAGCCAAACTGGCCAGGGCCAAAGGATATGAATTTAAAGCAGAGGGTAAATGGGAAATAGAAGATGCACATTATAGAAAAAAAAATCTGAATGGAGACCTGGCCCCAGATCACTTAACTATGCAGGCATATGACCCCAAGCACATGCCCTCACCTTGTTGGTCTCTGGCCCCCTCCTTCCAAATCTGGACAAAGTGGCTATTCACCTGCTGAAATGACCCTATGTACTATTTATTATTATTTCAAGCTAAGACTTACAAAGTTAGGATGTGTGTGGGTGGTGAGGTGAGAACCCCAGTGGAGATCTCAGGTATGTGAATCCTGATTAGTAATTGTCTGAGTACCTTAGGGTAAGGGTAGAGAGGCCTTTTCAGAGATCTCAAATGGGCTAGGGTGATATCACCTTCACCACTCTAGCTCTTATTCTAGAAAAGTTGCAACTCTGATGTTTAAGATCCCATCTATATCTACTTTTAAGTGAATCTCTTCCAGCCCCCTTCTCCATTTTCCTGAAGACTAACCCTGACCAAAGTCCTCTGGGTGAGGAAGTCCCTTTTTTTTTTTTTTAAATCAATCTTTATTGTTCATATTATTACAAAGGTTCCTCATTTCTTCCCCCCTACACCAGGTTCCCACCCCACCCGGGAAGTCCCTTTGGCTCCCAGAGATATGAGGATGTCACCTACAAGCCAAGGGGATGTCAATCTGAGGACAAGGGGGACACTTCAAAAGTCAAAAACTCCCAAATTAAGAAAGTGTCCAAATTCCTCTTTGGCGGGAACTACAAAGAAGCTGTGTCAACTGGACAGACAACAGGCCTATTCTTCAGTTGACTAGTTGTGGACACTACTCTGAAACCTTTTTCTAACTGTCTCCAGCTCCAGGTCCCTACTCACATTTCCCGTCTTTCTTGCAACCAGTGCCCTTGGTTCTACCCTCAAACCACATTCGGCTTCATCCCCCTCTTGCTGCCAAGAGGACTGAAAACTCCGTACAAAGATCTATTGAAGCTGTTGTGCTCAGGTCTTAGGGAGCTACTGCCATCTCCTTGAACTTCCATGCTCCTGCTGAGGAAGGCTGCGAGGTACACTTGACAATGGCTGTGACTAACCTCACCAATCCTCTGTGGGACAACTGAACAGAGCAAAATGGCCTGGTTATCAATCCTTTGGATATAAGAAGCAAATGTGGAAGAAAATGGAACCTCCAAAAATCTTTTTAAAAGGGAAGTCAAATGTTGCCTCCTAGCTTAAAATCCTCAATGACTTCCCATTGCACTTAAACTTATATTAAAACTGAACTTCTTATCTTATCCTACAGGACCCTGAAAGATTCCTCCAACTTCATCTTGTATCAAGTTGTTTCTTGTTTATTGGAATCCTCTTCCCCCAGACCTGTCTATAGCTGGCTCCTACTTGTCACTTAGGTCTCAGCTCGATGTCACTTCCTTAGATCTTTCCTGATCAATCTCAGTCACTCTATTATGTTAAAAGAATTTCATTTCTATATAATTCAGCACCCTCAAACATCATCTTATTTATATTTGTTAATTTTTTCTTCCCACCAAAATACAAGCTATACTGTCATCACTCAGAGCTCAGAACAATGACTGACACATAAAAGGTGCTCACAAACGAATGAATAAAAAAGGTGCACATGCTGGAACAGGTTTGGCTCAGTGGACAGAGCATTGGCCTGTGGACCAGAAGGTCCTGGGTTCCATTCCAGTCAAGGGCATGTACCTTGGTTGCGGGCACAAACCCGGTGGGGGCTGTGCAGGAAGCAGCTGGTTGATGTTTCTCTCTCATCAATGTTTCTAGCTCTCTATCCCGCTTTCTCCCTCTTTGTAAAAAGTCATATATATATATATATATATATATATATATATTTTTTTTTTTTTTTTTTTTTTTTAAAGGTGCACATGGAAGGTCACATTTGGGGTTTCTACAGCCCTGGGGGAGAAGACAGAAAGAATGGCCTACACTGCAATGTTTCCCAAAGTGTGGTACCCATACCTCCAGGAGTACGGGAAGAGTTTGGTGGGGATATGCACTGCACCGTGCTTAGCTGCGCCTAATTCTATGTTCTCATGAGTACGAGGGGTACTCAGCGTTACCAAAATTATAGAAGGGGTACACATATGTCAAAAGTTTGGGAAACAGTGGCCTACAGGATGGTAAAGGGATTTGAAAATCATGAGAGAAAAATTTGAAGGCATCGAGGAAATTTCTCTTGGTGAAGAGAAGACTCAGGAGCAATTTCATAATTGACTTCAAATATCTAAAGGGGTAGCACACAGAAAAGGAATTAGATTTATTTACTTATTCCAGAGGAGAACTTGGGTAGACATTTTTAAAAATATATATATTTTATTCATTTCTTATTTTATTTTTCAACAGGCCACTAGAATTTTATAATTCCTTATAAAGTTAAAAAGAGAGGCAGATCCTTCTAAGTAAAAGATTGTAAATCAACAAAAGTCTATTCCATTAAAAATAAAATCATAAAAACATTAAACATTTTAAGGTGACAAAGAGGATCCTCAATCAGCATTCTGACTTCTAGCATGCAATCCTTCTACAATCACAACTTTAGGGATTATATCAGTTTCTGAATTCTCAGGTGGAGCTAGATGAACCATGTGATTTTTTAAGGTAGAAAAATTGACCATTGCTCTTAAGTTTCTAGTTGTTTCTCCAATGCATAAAATTGCTGTTCCTGATCTTTGTTGGGGGCCATCTAGTCTATTTGCTTCATTTCCTGGGCTTATTCTTACAAGAACTAGATTGCAGTGCACTATATAGAACACAGGTCTTGAAGCTTCAAGAGGGTAGAACAATGACCTAAAGGTAATTTTAGATGTAAAACGGAGATAATTCCATGGGAGGACCTCAGTCTGATTGTTACAATCACTGGGATGGTTATAGAAACTCATAAAATCCTTGATATACCGTAATTACAGGACAATGATGTCCTAGGAACATTTCTTGACTGGTCACATGTAGATTATCACCAAATGCAGTTGGCTTGACTCTGGCCAGGAAGTGAAGGGGCTGCACTATACATACATTGATTGTTCTCCAGAGGATGTCCAAATCAGAGAAAAAACAGAGGTGCAGCCCTCCTAACACCAGACAAACCTTCATCTGGACAGAGACCAAGGCAACATCCATTCAGGGAACAGGAAGTTATATTTTATTGATTTTTTTTACAGAGAGAAAGGGAGAGGGATAGTTAGAAACATCAATGAGAGAGAAACATTGATCAGCTGCCTCCTGCACAAATCCTATTGCAGATGTGCCTGCAACCAAGGTACATGCCCTTGACCAAAATCAAACCTGGGACCCTTGAGCCCATAGGCTGACACTATACACTGAGCCAAACCGGTTAGGGCCTGGGAAGACATTTGTAAGTGAGAGACAATACAGGATATGGGGAATGTTGAAAGTCAAGAAAATTAAGCTCTAGTCTTGCCTCAGAACAGATTCACTTGGATCTTTGAGCTTGTCTGCTTCGATTCTCTAGAATGCATAAGCTAGATTGGATCACACATGACAAAATGTGTTTTATTTCTCAGGCTAACTCAAATTGACTGGTGGTAGCTGCCTGGAGCACTGTGGTGAGAAGGATCCTGAAGCAATGAAGCAATGGAAGAATGATTAATAATTTGGGCACACCTCAAGGAATGGGATATTATATAGCTATTAAAAATATGCTTGCTCGAAAGAAAAAAATGCTTGCCCTACATGGTGGCTTAGTGGTTGAGTATTTTCCTATGAACCAGGTGGTCACGGTTCAAGTACCAAACAGGGCACATGCCTGGGTTGTGGGCTCGATCCCCAGTTGGGGATGTTTCTCTCTCTCTTTCCCCTCTCCCTTCCTTTCTAAAATCAATAAAAATATATATTTTTTAAAAAAAGCTTGACTGTGATAGCAGAATACAAAAAAAAAATTTATACAATATTTGATCTTTACTGATCTAGAGTGATGTCCATAAGCTGCATAGTAATACGTACAATGTGATGTCATTTTTTTGTAAAAAGAAAAAAAAAAGCCAAATACAAAAACCATTATATATGATATCTGTATATACACATATGTACATATGTATATAGAGAAGTGTATACAGGGATAGACCCTAAGGCTGTTCACACTGATTACCTTGGAAAGGAGGAGGCATTATTAACACTCACAACATAACTTTTTAGTATTTCACTAGTTACAAGTAAAATGTTACTTCTGTAAATTTTTTTTAATATATTTTATTGATTTTTTACAGAGAGGAAGGGAGAGAGATAGAGAGCTAGAAACATTGTC